TGACAGTTTGTTGACCCTTAATCACCTTATGTGGGAATTCCTGGGGTTGGAATGGACCTGATGTGTGTCTTGACTCAGATTTCCAGTTGTTCCTTTTCCCCACCCCCTCCCAAGTTACGGTTTTCTCCTTCTGCACATTGTAATGAAAGCTTTCTGAGGATGGCAGACGTGTCAAAGTGGTGCTGCATGGAGGGCTCCTCACTGTAAACCATGATCAGCGGCGCATGCATTCAGTTTTCATTGCTATGATGTGAAAAGTCTCAAGGATCGCTGATACAGAGGATAACAGGATCAGTGCTTGGAGTTTGTCCACAATCCTTTATGATCTATGAATGAGGCACATGGGCTAGTGAATTTCTACTGGGCTGCTAGACCGGGGACGCCTCTTGTCAGCGTTGAAGCTACAGGGAAGTGAGCATCTGATTACAGCGTGGACCCCAGCCATCGGGACGGCGGGGCAGCCTGGCTCCTGTTTCTGCTGCACTGTGGTTTGTTTTAGTGGACTCTGACGGTATCAACTGTCTACTGTTCTAAACCACCACTCTGTACACCCTGTTATAGTATCGTGATAAAAGTGTCTGAAACATGGTATTTTTAAATTTTTCTATTTCTCTAAAAATCCACCCAAAGAAGACTGTAAATTAGTGTGACTTTCAAAGGAGCAATCAGCGCTATCTTTAAAATTGTAAACGCATATGCCTTCTAGCCCAGCCATTCTGCTGGCCCTTTGCAGAGGATCAGGAAGCTTGTGGGTTAAAGTCTTACAGAGGGTAGCGCAGGGTAGAGACTTGGCTGAGGTGACATTTGAACAAAGACTCAAAGGAGGCGAGGGAGTTCATCTAGCACACATGAAAACCCAGAAGCAGCTAAGATATCCACCAATAAAGAACCTTTGAGTGGCCGGCACTGCGGCTCACTAGGCTAATCCTCCGCCTTGTGGCGCTGGCACACCGGGTTCTAGTCCCGGTCGGGGTGCCGGATTCTGTCCCGGCTGCCCTTCTTCCAGGCCAGCTCTCTGCTGTGGCCAGGGAGTGCAGTGGAGGATGGCCCAAGTCCTTGGGTCCTGCACCCCATGGGAGACCAGGAGAAGCACCTGGCTCCTGCCTTGGGATCAGCGTGGTGTGCCGGCCGCAGCGCGCCGGCCACAGCGGCCATTGGAGGGTGAACCAACGGCAAAGGAAGACCTTTCTCTCTGTCTCTCTCTCTCTCACTGTCCACTCTGCCTGTCAAAAAAAAAAAAAAAAAAAAAAAAAAAAGAACAAACCGTGGAGTGCGGTACTGTGCAAGCAGTGAAAAGAAGGAGGTGGGTGGGACCGCTGGGCTGGTGTTCAGGAGACAGGCGGGGCGGAGCTTGTGTGCTGGTGTTTTGCTGTGAGCGAGTCTCGCGAGAGCACTAAGGACTGGGAAGCAGATCCCGGGTGAGGCACAGGTTCAGCTGCCGTGCACTTGCGGCAGAAGTCCCATTGGAGCTCGGGGCTTCCAATGACCTTATGAATGCACAAGGCCAGGCCTTTGTCTCATCAGCTCCCCTGTGACCAGTCCTTGAGAACAGTCTTGGAGTAGTCGCTTCCCAAGAGGCAAACGTGACCCTTAATCAACTATAAACGGCATAAAAACTTTCTTACTGTGACAGTGATTGAGCGTGGGGATTCTAGAGACAGAAGGACTATGTTGGAATCCTAACCACTGTCACCTGTTGTCTTTGGGACCTTGGGCAAGCGATGCCATCGCATCAGGTCTCAGTTTTCCCAGTTGTGAAATGGGTACTAGAATACTCCTCACCTCATAAGGTTATTGGAAAGACTAAATGAGATAATTCACTGTACTGGAAATATGTCATGCGGTGCCTGGAACATAGTCAGTACTGAATAAATGCTGTCCGTAGCAGAGGTTTCACATGTTTCTCCCTCCTTTCAGAGACGATGACCCCAAGTGTAGGGTATTTTCTGCTAGAGTATAGGTGATAAATTAAACACCAGCCAATCATTGAACATTTTTGAAACTTATATAGTGTCACAGCATTTATACAATTCATATCACCTCAGTACTCACCTTCTTTTATTGCAGTAAGTCAAGGAGTACAGGACAATTCATCTTTTGAATCAGGAAATTTAGAGGGATTTCGGTTTTGGAGGACACTTAAGGTATAAATAAATCAATCCACAGACTATACCCTGAAGTATTAGTCATACTTGTTTTTTGAGCCCGGTTGGTATCTCTGGAAACAAATCTCTCCACGAAGAAGTGACAGCAACTCCAAATTATGATTTCCTTGTTCTGAGCACTAGATGTCACACTAAGTAAAGTTTTAGAAGTTACTCTTCAGAGTAGGGTGTGGCCTGGTGTCTAAACCTCAGCTATGAAAAATCACAGCGTGGGCGTCCACGTGTAGCTTCACTTCATGTTTCTAGTACCATGCAGAAAGGTGCACTTTTGCTAGCAAACATTTCAGAAGAATCGTTAGCCAGAAAGTCGAGTTGGAGTAGCAGCCTACTGTCATGGGTACTCAACAAGCATACCATTTCCTTGCACATAAAAAATGGTATTTCCTTCCAGAAACAAAGTGATTTGTCTACAGGCAACCTGCACATATGTCCTGGTGATCATGTGTCTTCTGACATGGCGAGAGGCAAGAAGAACCAGGCATGGCCTTGGCCTGCAAGGCATGGTCAAGGTGACGAAGGAGATAGTGAAGACAGGGTTCATTCGGCCCTGAAACAGTCTGTGGTGGGGGGTGGTGTGCAGTCATCTTCCGTGCAGGGAGCAGATGGTACCTCCCAGCCCTCTCAGACCCACTTACGCCTTGAGTTTGGCTCTCAGAAATCTAAATGAGACTTGTGGGTTGAGATTTACATGTTCATGATTTCCTTTTGGAAAATACATTTGCTTTCATAATGGCAAGGAAGTCAGATTTTGTGTGCAGAAGGGTTCTGTAAGGATATAATCATCAAACTTCACGAGTACCCACTGAAATGCCTGGAGTCCACTGGAAGCTGGAGAGAATTCGTTCAAGCTTAGTTTTAGCAGCCACAGTACATCTGTATTTTGTCAAGTAGCTGAATAATGAGTTTGAATGGTGTTTAAGGATCCGTTCATGAATACAGATGCATATTTCTATGTGTAATTAAAGCTGTAAATTGCACCTTTTAAGTTTCAGGGTTTTCAAGGCAGCCTGTGATGACGGGTGATTTCCACTGGGTATAATTGATCCCATGGTGGGTAATGTTGGTGCCTTGTTTGCTCCGATAAACAAGATTCCAACTGATAATACATGGGCTGATGATTCATTCATGACTTCCTCTTATCAAGAGATGGACAACTGGTCAGCGAAACAGGACCTTCTCAGGTCGGGTGGCTCTGTGACTCGGGACTTTTCCACCACATATTGATATTGCTGCCGCTGCCAAGGTACCCAGCTCCCGAGAACAAGCTGTCATTTTCTCCCTGTTGTTAAGGGGCATCATGGGTACAGTGATGACAGCAGTCCATGCTGTCCCCCTGCAGGGGCTCAGACAGCCACTTAGGGCCCTCAGCAGGTCGTTAATCCCTGCACTGGCTTTGGGAACTTGGAGGAGCTCGGGTGCATTGCGAGGACCTCAAGGGGAGAAGGATCCCTCCAGAATAAAGTGTGGATAAGATGACGTTTCTATCAAGCCAGCAGTTGTTTTTGTTTCTTGTTTTCAGTGTGGGTAGGAAGGTCAGCTGGCTTGGAACCCCCACTGTGCCAGACTTGGGGGGCTACAGGTGTTGTCCCCACTCAGGTGGAGTAAAACCATTGCTCTGGCTGGCACCGCGATCAATAGGCTAATCTCTGCCTGCGGTGCCAGCACCCCGGGTTCTAGTCCCGGTCGGGGCACCAGATTCTGTCCCAGTCGCTCTTCTTCCTGTCCAGCTGTCTGCTGTGGCCCAAGAGTGCAGTGGAGAATGGACCAAGTCCTTGGGCCCTGCACCCGCATGGGAGACCAGGAGAAGCACCTGGCTCCTGGCTTCGGATCAGTGCGGTGCACCGGCCGCAGTGCGCCAGCCGTAGCGGCCATTGGGGGGGTGAACCAACGGAAAAAGGAAAACCTTCCTCTCTGTCTCTCTCTCTCACTGTCCACTCTGTCTGTCCAAAAAAAAAAATTGCTCTGTAGGCTGCTTCGAACCATTACTGCTGAAGCCAGCTTGGTGGGTGGCCTTCCCGGTTTTCCCACAGACTTGCCCTCTGATTTGGAGACGTTGGCCCCAGACCCTTTGGAGTGACTGATGCTTTGGAAGGGCCTGGTGAGGCTCCAATGATCTCCATTCAACAAATATGAACAGAGCACCTGCAATGCATAAGGCCTGCAAGGAACCAAAAAAACAGGGGCACAGCTCTGCCCTAAGACGCATGTGGAAGAGTGGACAGGAGGCAGCTACACTGTCCAGAGCAGATCTCCCAGCGCCGAGAGGCAAGGGGCATAATAAGGCATCCGGGAGGGGCGGGCGTTGGGAGTAGCGGTTAGGGTGCTTGCATCCCGCATCAGAGCCCCAGCTCTCCTCTCGATTCCAGCTTCCTGCTCATGTGCGCCCTGGGAGGCAGCAGGTGCCGGCTCTGGCGGCGGGGTCCCTGTCACCCGTGTGGTAGAGCTGGACTGAGTTCCCAGCGCCCAGCTTCAGCCTGGCCCAGCATTTGGGGAAAGGAAGCATTTGATGGGGTGCTCTTGCTCAAGTGCTCCCTCTGTAAAAAATAAAATAAAACATCTGGGGGCACTTAACATGCGTGTGGTAATCTCATGGCTCCTCTCAGCAACCAGGGAGGAAACCGAGCGACAAGGAGACAGGGTGACTTCTCCCAGGTCACCCAGCAGGCAGTGGTGAGTGACCCACATCAGAGGGGCTGCAACACTGCTGCTGTAGACCCCTCGTTCCCTGTCAGGACGCACCTCTGCCTCTTCAAACCGCTTTGTGAGGGGACCCAGAGGGCTCGCAGACCGTGAGTCTCCAGCGCATCTGTGTACCTTGTTTTTGTTTCCCGGCAGGTCATGGGCTGACGGCCGTCAAGGAGAAAGCGGGGGCCACCCTCCGGATTCATCATCACGTCAATGCTGGACCTTCTGAAGGGGCCCAGCCCGATTCCGAAAACGGAGTCCCCGAGAGTGAGTGACTCCTTTACATGGGGTGGTTGTTCTTGGACTTGGGCTTGAGCATGCCATGTGCACAAGTGGGATGTTTCCACGTTCAGATCAGCAATAGGAGCGCTAAAAGGCTTGTGTTCTCTTTAGTAGTGCATGCGGCCGCAGATCCAGGCCCCGCAGGGAGCCCACCCACGTCTCCTTCATCAGGGTCTCGGGGCGTGCTGTCAGCCCTCAGCAATGTGGTGCAAAACACGGTGAGTCGTAGCTGCCTCTGTCGTCCCAGAGTCTCCCGGCGCTTGCTTCTGATGTTTCTGTTTACCAGTGACCTAGATACATCAGACAGACAGGGCTTTGCTCATAACTTTGGATTATGGTTTTGTTATGTTTTCCGCTACAGAGCAGGTGTAACCTTGGATCCAAAATAATAAGGGCAACATGAAATATATGGGATGTCTAAAAAAGGGAGCTGTTTAGAAGGAACGTCTGCCGGTCTGATTTAACTGTGTCCTTCCCAGCCACTGCAGGGACAGCCTCTGGCTGGAGAGGAAGAGCTCTGGTTCTAGCTAGGACAGCTGTTATTTTTAGAAGCTCTAACCCTCAGTTTGAACTATTGCAAAACCATTCAAATGATCTTTCAAAAGACCAGTAATGAGAATCAGGAAAAACGGCCCAGATATGTTTCTAGAGTATTTCTCTGGGCAGGCATTCGGCACAGCAGTTCAAGTACCTCTTGGGAAGTCCGCATGCCAGATTGGAGTATCTGGTTGGAATCCCAGCAGCCCTGCTTCCTGCCGGTGTGCGCTCGGGGAGGCAGCAGGTGACGGCTCAAGTGCTGCCATCCACATGGGAAATCCAGACGGAGCTCCAGGCTCCTGGCTTTGGCCTGGCCCAGGCCTAGCTGTTGTAGGCATTTGGGGAGTGAACCAGCAGAGGGAAGATCTCTCTCTGCCTTCCAATAAAATGAAAATAAAGTATTTCTACACAACTAAGATAACTACATAATATCCCTCCCCATGCCCACTTCCTGTTCCGTTCCCTTTCCTTGCAGATCCCTGAATGTACCCCCTCAAGCCCCTGCCTCCCTCTTAAAGGAAGATTGTCATTGGCAGAAAAGCTGATGATTTTTTTAAAAAATATTTATTTATTTATTTATTTGAAATCAGAGTTACAGAGAGAGACAGTGATCTTCCACCCACTGGTTCACTCCCCAGATGGCCATGACAGCCAGGGTTGGGCCAGACTGAAGCCAGGAGCCAGGAGCTTTTTCTAGGTCTCTCACATGGGTGGCAGGGGCCTAAACATTTGGGACATCTTCTGTTGCTTTTCCGGGCCATTAGCAGGGAGCTGGATTGGAAGTGGAGTAGTTGGGACTCAAACATGCACCCATGTGGGATGCCAGCATCGCAGGCAGAGGCTTAACCCATTACATCACAATGCTGACCCCTACGCTGATATATATTGAAAAGGCGGGAGGCCCCAGCCAACATGAGGCAGCTTCCTTGTCCTCAGGATCAGGAAGAAAAAGGTTATTTTCTATTATGTAGAATCAACCAACTAGTTTTTAAAAACTGCAATGTTTATCTTTCTATTGCAAAGTAGTGTACAAATGCAGAATGTTATACAAAAGAATGAGCAGCTTCATGAATTATCACAGGGTGGGCTCATCTGTACTCACTGCTCAGCCTGAGGTCAGTGTCAGCCATCCCCAAGCTCCTCCGCGGTGATTAAAGGTTCCACATCCTTCAGTCCCTAGCAGATAACCGCCATCACACTTCCTTAGTAGTGGCACTTCTTGGCACTTCTCTTTTTTTAGTATTGAAATTCTTGTATTTATGTATTTTATTATTTTCATTTTGTCTGAAAGGCAGACAGTCAGAATGACAGAGATAGAGGGAGATCTTCCATCTGCTGATTCACTTCCCCACATGCCCACAACAGCTGGGGCTGGACCAGGCTGAGGCCAGGAGCCAAGAACTCAGTCCCGGTCTTTCATGGGGGTAGCAGGGACCCAAGCGCTCGAGCCATCGTCTGCTGCCTCCCAGGATGTACAGCAGCAGGAAGCTGGCATTGGAAGCAGAGCAGGGACTGAAACCCATTGCTCCGATACGCGATGCCTGCATCCCAAGCAGCAGCTTAACTCCTCACTGCGCCAGGTGCCTGCGCCTCCTGCTGCTTCTTCATGAATTCACCACCTGAGTGCATATTTTTAGGCATTACAAGTTTGATCTCGTCCTGTTCTTGACTTGGTATTTTAGGGTTCTTTTTTTTTTTTTTTTTTTTAAGATTTGCACTCCAACCCTTTGTTTTCTTTACAATTTTTTTTTATCTCTTTAAATAATTGAGCCATTTAGTCTACGAGTCTCATAGCCTGGATTTTGCTGATTCCTTCATCATGGTGCACTTTAGCAAGTAATTTCACTTCTCTGTTTATGACTCACGTCCCATCAACTCATTCATTCATTTAGTAGAAGAACCGGAATCCTCACCAGGACCCAGGAGCTTATGTGAGGGGTTGGGCATGGCACGTGCTGGCAAGCAAGAGGGCACAGGTCCCTGGGGAGCAGAGGCAGCTCAGCAGACGGGTATAGCCAGTGTTGGAAGCAGAGGGGCTGTAGACAGACAAATGAGGCTGTTTTATCCAGACTTCGGGTTCTGGATGTGCTAACGAGGGAGAGGAAATGCTCTTCTCCTTGCCACCTGCGGACCTCCAGCCTGGGCAGGGTAGAAGGAGCAGTAAATAGAGTTTTTAGGAGTTTTATCAAAGTGCAACTCAAGTGACCCTTGAGGAAGTTTGAAGGATGGGGATGGAGGGAGCTCTTGCAACATCTGTGGTACCAGAAGCCAGTTTGCAGCCTTTCCGAGCCACAGTGCCGGGCACTCTGAGTGTGTCTGTAGCGGCCTCACCGTCGTTCTGTGTTCCCCATTCTCTCTGGCCTCTTGGCCTCTACCACCACCTCCCATCAGCCCTTCCTCCACGTCCCCAGATCCTCCCTTCTCCCTCTGACCCTTCCCGGGTGTTACAAGGCAATGAATCAAATTATGCAAAAGTGTGAGTTCTGAGATCCCACCCTCCTCCCAGAGCCTTGCATTTTACAACCCATTTCATGATTATTGATCGGCTCCCAGATCGGCTTGGTGTCCAGGATGAAAATGACAAATGGAGCGCATTCATTCCGTGACATTGAACATTGCTGTTGGTGTGATGTTTATGGAGACTGGAAAGTGCGTGTAGATAAAATGGCATTTACAACAGCTATCTAAAGGGGGGGGGGGGGGAAGCACAGGGTGTGCGGATTGTCATCACGGTTGTGTGGTTGGGGGATTTGTACAGAAAAGTTTGCAAAGACATGTACACCGGAGCAGTTTGGGTCACTGGAGCAGTTCGTGTGAATAATCTTGGTGGTTTTAAGTTTTTGTAATGGAAGGCAATGACTCTGGCAAAGGGGTTTTTTGGGGGATAACTGTATAACAGAAGCATTTCTAAAGCCAGAAGTACTTGGAAGTCACCCTGTCTTATTTCATGAGTGTGCTAATTACAGGAAAATTTTTGCTGGTTTCTTGAAGGATGCAGGAGTCATGCAAAACAGCCCGAGGGCCCTGTGCTCCAGGGCCCAGGATTAGACAGTTCCCTAAATTGCCAAGAGTATTTGACATTGTAATAGACTGCTCCAAATAATTCTGTGACTCCCATTACATTTTTCCAAACCAAAACAGCAACTAGGTCACCAGCTCATTCTGTGTCTTAAGTGCATACCCACAGAGCTGGTGAAATTCATCCCTGTGTGCTGTGTTTTTTTTTTTTTTTTTTATCCTAGGCATTGTGTTTTAATCACGCTGTAATGCCCTACAAATTCTGTGGCATATGCTTTTCCAAGGGAAATAAAATAGGATTAAATGGATGATAAATCTGATGAGAAAGAAATCGTGTCTTTATATTGATTTTAATATTTGACGACAGTGCCAGTTACCCAGGAGCTGCTGACAGCTGCGAAACAGAAACTCAGAAAAATCTCATCTCATGCAATTATCTCACGGGCAGGGTAAAAGCGTCCTGAGCGGCGGCCTGGATGCCTTGGAATTCATCGGCAAGAAGACCATGACCGTCCTGGCGGAGAGTGACCCCGGGTTTAAGAGGACCAAGACGCTCATGGAGAGAACTGTCTCCTTGTCTCAGGTCGGGTTGGCTACTTTGGCAGTTTTCTTTCGGCTGGCAAAGCGAGTACGTTTTTAGTTCGCATCTTGCACAGGCCCTGTAAAGTGCAGGATGCAAATTCAGATGGCCCAGGAGTGGAGGATGACCCTGGAGGGGGGGTCCTTGGTCCTGTGTGCCCCGGGAGTGGGAGGGAGGGGTGCAGGCTGACTGCCAGTGGCCCTGCTCCCAGCCAAGCCCGCCGCCCCCGTGGTGCGGGACAGTGCAGGGCTGTGCAGGTGGCGATGCGGGGTTGAGGCCCCATCTGCTTTGGGTCCAGATTTCCTGCTGGAGTGAGCGTGGGCTGTGAAATGAGAGCCGTCTTCAGGAAAGGCTCCAGAGTCATTTGAGCTCCTGGAGGAAGAAGCTGCCGTCATCGGATACAGGGAATGCTGATAGGCGCTTGCTTCACCCCCTAAAGAGACGCATCCAGAAACGCGCACACGTGCTGCTGCCCGCGCGTCTCCCCAGTCCTAACCCCGCCATAGCGGACACCTTTTGAGTCTCGCCGAGACAGAGCGGTTCACGTTGCCCACTGGTGGGAGACTCCACGGCTTGTCGCCATCGGGGCTTCTGCCCTGCCCCACTCCCTCCCTGCTGTTTGAACCCAGCTCCTTTCCTTCTCCGGAGGGTGAACACAGCCAGCACCCTGCAGACAGCTTTCCTTCCTCTCCCTGTTTTGGGGTGGCCCCTGCACCCTCCAGAGTGACCCCTTGCCTGGGCTCTGGTCCCTGCCACCCCTCAGCCTTCCTCCCGAAGTACAGAGTTAGAAATGGAAGCAAGTTCAGGGTCACTTGCTGCTTTTACCTCCAGCAAGCCCCGAGCTCCGTGGAAAGAGTTGGGTTTTATTCCAACTGTTGGGAATTCCCAGTGGCGATTTTATTGGATTGTGTTGCCAACTTTAAAATTCAGAGCCTGTGCTGATTTAGTTTGAAAGACACACACAAGAGACAGTTCTGTTTGTGGTCCAGTGAGCTCCTGGCAAACAGCTTCAGGAACCCAAAAGGAGAATGAGGCTGATTGTTCCATTGCCACAAAATAAATGCCAGTGACTGTTCTCTGATGACCCCCTGGTGACCCCGTGGCACTGGCCAGTGTCCTGATGGTGCTTGCCACAGATATTAAAGACCCCCATAAAATTAATGGCCCAGTACACTTAATAAGGAATCAAATAAAAGATGCCTAGACTCCCAGAAAGCCAGTGCAGAAAAGTGGGACTGATGGGTTTGTGTTCCTTCTGTTGCATTTTTATTTAAACAAAGAGCATCTGGAGAAAATGCATGAGTGTGGAAAGGAAGTGGGTCCACAGTCACACTTCTGGAGACCACCCAAGAACCTGGGAGCATAATTACATTGGGTACCTGGGGATGGACACATTCTGAGTTCCTATTGATTTTGTCATTGAAGCTCTCTACTAACCAAACACACACACACACACACACACACACACAATTTTTTTTAAAGGATAATATCAGACCAGCTTACTTTCTGCTTGGAAGTCCGCATAGGTGTCAGAAGAGACTGAACTTCCCCAGTGTACTTGCAGACTTGCTCTTTATAGAAAATCGGGACATTGTGGAAAATAGGACTGTTAATCACACACATGGGAAACACTTCACTGGAAAGCAGTGCTAAGCTTTTGGTGTACTTCTTTGCAAACTTATTCCCACGTATAAACTTTTTCCTTTGTTTTTGCCTAGTATACAATGACCTGTGAAATACAGGGTGGAATATTATGTAAAAATGACCAACAGCTCCCACTGAAAATTGTTTTTAGAAATTCCAAAGTCGCTAAAACCTAGCCCGTTCCAGCACAAAGCCAGGGCGGCCATTCCCCAGGCCTCACGCGGGAAGCAGGCCTTTGCAGGCGCTGTACAGGCATGGTGTCTTTCTGCAGATGTTAAGGGAAGCCAAGGAGAAGGAGAAGCAGAGACTGGCGCAGCAGCTCACTGTGGAGAGAACCGCACACTACGGGATGCTCTTTGATGAATATCAAGGTTTGTCGCACCTGGAAGCCCTGGAAATTCTGTCCAATGAGAGCGAAAGCAAGGTACGTCGCGGCGATCGTGCGAAGCAGCACAGTCGGTGATGTGTTTCTCAAACGGGAAAGAAGTTGGGGGAAGCCATGAAAACGGCTGAGCTCTAGGGTCTCACGATGGGTGCCAGGGTCCCAGATAAGTTCCACGGTGTCCTGTGCTAAGTTGTGACCCAGCCCAGCCCCAAGAAGGCAAGCACCCCAGGAGTCACCACTGCGCCCCGTGCCCAGCGTAAGGCGGCTGCTCCAACACTTGACCGTGGGGCCCCTGACTCTCCTTCATGACCTTGTACAGAGAGCAGAGACGCCTTGCAGCCAGCGTCTTCCTTCCTACCCAGTGAGAGGAAAGCAGCTGCTGCCCCCTTGGACCGCAGGCTTTGAATAGATGTTGTGGGTTATGTAGTTGCCTATTCTGTCATCTTCATAGAACGCCTACACCACAAAGGGCAGGATTCTTGGACTGAAGGTCAAGGTTCTGTTTGGGAGTGCTCCCGAGCAGACACCCGGGAACCCTGCCTGTGCCATGGCCATGTGCATTCACACACCTGCACCCACCGTGACCCAGCGGAATGCAAACACAGGAACTCAGCGGGGCTTGCTGCGTTTTTTATTTTATTTTCTTTTTTAAAGATTTATTTATTTATTTGTAAGTCAGAGTTACAGAGAGAGAGAGGGAGAGAGAAAGAGCTCTTTCATCTGCTGGTTTACTCCCTACATGGCTGCAGAAATCAGGGCTGGATTAAGGTATCACAAATGGGCCCACCTCCTCCAAGTCCAAACACAGGAGGGTGGGGCCCACGGAATCAAAGATTCTCCATTCTGAGGCTCATTGCCAAGTTCAGCTTCCTGTTTGAGGACCTCTGCAGCCTCAGTGCCCATGGGGTGACACCCACACAAAAGAGCCTTGTACATAATTAAATGAGTGAAGAGTTTTACAGTGTGTAGAACACTGACTATATGAGTGCCAAGTAAGCACTTGCTAAATACACACACACACACACACACACACACACACATACACACACACATCACTGTAGATCCTTTAAGAAAAAACCCACGGTGGCTGGCACTGTGGCGTAATGGGTAAAGCTACCACCTGCAATGCTGACATCCCATATGGGCACCAGTTGGAGCCCCGGCTGTTCCAATTCTGATTCAGCTCCCTGCTAGTGCACCTGGGAAAACAGTGTAAGGTGACCCTCCCTGAAAGCAATATGGTTAAAACTGTCTAAGGATAATTTTCAAAACAAGCAAAATTGTGACTCTCCTGCAGATATAAGATGAACACCTGTTAAGGAATTTATTTCACTCTTTAATTAAGTAGGAAACCAGGCAGATGCTATACCAAGTTCAAAGGAAAAGCCAAAGCAACGGGAGTTTATGTGGACTGAAGGAATGCTGATGACATGTGCAGACAGACACACACCCACTTTCTCCTCCACAGGGGATGTTGTCCCTCAGCCGGACACAAGTCAGTCACATTTGTTGACAAGAGTGATTTGGGGCCAGGTGTTTTTGCTTAATGGTAAAGACACCAATTAAGGGGCTGGCGCTGTGGCTTAGTGGGTTAAGCCGCCACCTGCATCGCCGGCATCCCATATGGGCACTGGTTTGGGTCCCAGCTGTTCCATTTCTGATCTAGCTCCATACTAATGGCCTGAGAAAGCAGTGGAAGATGGCCCAAGTGCTTGGTCCCCTGCACCCATGTGGGAGACTCAGAGGAAGCTCCTGGCTCTGGGCTTCCGCCTGGCCAACTCACATATCGGAGTCCCTGATGTGGGTTTGAGGCCTGGCTCTGGCTTCTGACTCCAGCTTCCTGCTGTTGTGGCACTGGGAGGCAGCAGCAGTGGCTCAAGTGATTGGCCTTCTGCCTCCTTCCCGGGGAGCTTGGGTGACATTCCCAGCTCCCAGCTTCAGCCTCACCTCGCCCTGTGATTGTGGGCATCTGGGGGAATGACCGAGTGGATGGGAACGCTCTCAAATTAATTAATTTTTTCATTAATTAAAATGCATGACTGATCTATAATTCCTACAGTTGTAGAATTGCTCCCACAGATTCAGAATCTGCTAATCCAGTAAGGTGAGCTCCAACAAATGCAGACATTTCCTCTCCAGAGGTGGATCTGGAGCCAGGTGATATGGGGTCCGAGGTCCACTCCTCTGTCTCCGTGCTGGACAGCAGAAGGAGCCCCAGGTCCCAGAAAGCCCCACGGTCACCAGGGAAATGACCCACATGCTACAGTGGGTTGCTGAGCTGTGATGCTCTGTAGGCCGAGTGTACTGGATACACTTTTGTCTTAGGGCATTTGCAGCTTTCTGCGAGTCTATCACAGTGGAATCCCATCAGACGTTGAGGGACATCGGTACTCTCAGAATGCCCCAGGAGAGCAGGCTTCCAGCAGCACAGACCCCCACACCACCCTCCCACTGTCCCCTTCTCTTGCCTCCAGCCGACACCTCGGGGAGCCTAATGCTCACACCTCAGTGAGGTTGAACTAATACAAGTTCTGCAAACAGCCACCTGTGGACCATCTTTTGGGCCTAGGGATGGATACACGTGCCAGTGGCCTGTCCCCACCCTAAGGAGCACAGCCTGGGGAGGGGTCCCAGGCAGGCCACGGAAGGGAACCTTCAGTAGCCTGGAAAGTGATGCAGAAGGGCAAGTGTGGGCTCTAGCAGGCACGCCCCTCGGGTCTCTGTGGGCTCGCCTGTGTCCTGGTCTAGAGACAGTACTGGGTTGCAGCATCGTCTGGGGCCTGTGTCTTCTGAGCCACATCAGCGTAAGGAGAGACAGGATAGCGGGAACACACGTCGTCTCTCCCAACGTCCCATTGGCTGGAGCTCAGTCACAGGGATGGATATAGAGGAACTCTTATCATTATGATTGGTCTACGTTGACTCTAGGATGACAGTGTTAAAGAAAACCTCATCATTTTCATTGCCATGATACTCAGTCATTACAAATAGTAAACAAGAAGTTCAAAATGGCACCACACACTCCTTTCAAGGAAAAGATCTATAAGACAGACCGTCTTTGTGCCTGTGCAGGCCTATGGTTAGCACAGTGCTGAGAATATAAGCATAGAGTATTCAGCATCCCATGAATACTTTTGAGAAACGTGCAGTGAGTTATCATTGAAGTAATGATTCAGCGCCGATAGCCTTGGGATAGAGGAGTGAACCAGGAGGAAGCAACATGAGGGTTGAATGGAGGACAGTGGAGGTCAGGGCAAGGAGTGGCCAGCAGCCGCCGTGCAAGGTGCGTTTGCTTCCACCCGCTGACCGCTGCAGCTGGTGGGTCGGCTAATGGGTTCTGTGTTGACGACTCCCTGCCAAGCTTCCTCTCGGAGCCTCTGCGCCCACTGCGTTATGCAGTGGTGGTGTCCATTAGCAGCGATTAAGCAAATGATGTCCTGGCGTTCTGGACGCCCTCTCTAGTTCTCCCACTTATCCTGATGTGCCAGTCTATGGCCACAATGAATGTTAAAACATTCCAAAGAGGACTGTGGCTCCTCTGCTGACTGTCCCTCCAGAGCTAGGACCTGCAGAGTGAAAGCAAAGCACGCCTGCTTCCCAGGCGTCTGCTCTTCTCACACTGCTCTGTGCCTTTGACCTCTGGAAACACAAATTAATCTCCAGAGGCTGCCTGGCCAGCTAAACAAATATTTCTTTTTTACTGTTGCTTATTTTTTTTTTTGAGAGGCAGAGAGAGAGAGAGAGGTTGAGAGAGGGAGAGCTCCCTTCCACTGGTCCATCCCCCAAAATGCCTACAACAGCCAAGGCTGGGCCAGGCCAATGCCAGGAGCACAGAACTTGATCCAGGTCTCCCACGTGGCTGGCAGGGACCCAAGTACTTGAGTGATCACTGGTGCTTCCCAGGGTGTGCGTTAGCAGGAATCTGGAGTCACGAGCCGGAGCTGCGTGTCAACCTCAGGCACTCTGATGTGGGATATGGCATCTTTACCACTGGGCAAAATGCCCATCCCTAAATAACTGTTCAAGTGTGTGCACAGGACAGTGTCAAGGGAGGGGTTCTGAAGGCAGCAGGGAAGACGTCATCCACCTCCTCCATGAAGTCCTCCCTGCTCACCCTCTTGCCTCCTCGAGGAGAGCGACAGCTCTTCCCTGGCACCCTGGCTATACCCTCCACTCACCTCTGTCGTGGCCGTTATTGGTTGATGTAGGCCACCCTCCTCCAGCTGCAAGATCTCCAAGATGAAAAATGTGCCTGTGGAGATGCAGTTACAGATAAAACATTATCTATTCAGGTTTGCTTACATGTGGACCCACATACTATATATATATATATATATATATATATATATATAGTACACTATATATATATATATATATATATATAAATACCTATCATACATAATTTATGGAGTACCGCTGCAGGTATTTTAAGTGCATTACTGCACTTAATTCTCAAAACAACCCTATAAGGTAGATGCAATTAGCCTCCAGTTTACAGATAAAGATGCAGAGGCATCCGGAGGGTAACTGAATTAACCAAGGTCACATAGTTAATAAGTGAGGAGCTGATATGTGAGCCCCGTGTGTTTTAACCACATAGCTGCCACCACTTCTTTAGCACCTGCTGTGTGCACTTTGTGCAAGGTGCTTCATATCCATGATCTCATTTACCAAATACAAAGGATCACAATGAAGTGTCGATCTCATTTTATAAATGCGAAAACCGAGGTCTGGCAGCTTCTATAGCTTGCCCCAAGTTGCAGTTTGTAGGCAGTAAAGCCAGCATACAACCCAACGTCCCCTCCCGCCCGGCAATCACCTCGGTCCTGGGCAAACCAGGGACAGCTGTACACAGCTGTCATTAGTGGGAAGCAAAGATGACAGTTAATGCCAACCTATTTCTTTTTTTCAGGTTCAGTCATTTTTAGCATCGCTGGATGGACAGAAGCTGGAACTGGTGAAAAATGACCTCATTTCCATTAAAGACATTTTTGCAGCCAAAGAATTTGAGAATGAAGAGAATCAAGAAGAACAAGGTAAAGGAAGATTGCAAGTTAGCAAAACCATCTGCTGGCAAACAGATTGGGAAACACAGCTCTTTGAACAGGGTGCAGTTGCGGAATTCAAATGCTCCTCCCCCAGGCTTCCAGAACCGGCTGTGCACCTGCTCTTGTGGCAGGCCCCCGTCACATTGATCTCTGTCCTCTCCCTTGCTGGGTGGGAACTCCCATTGTTTCTCTGGTGTCCAGCACAGGGCCAGGCACATGTGTAGACATGCAATACATGCATGTGGCTGGATGAACAAAGCACCTGTGCCCAGTGTGCATGCATGAGCAGAGCGTGTGCTCCAGCTTCCGGTTCTCTCCACATGGAAGTTGTTTGATGTGATTAGTGTTGATGGTGGGCAAGTCTTTGTCTATGTTTTCTGTTCCTTTGATTTTAGATGTGAGGCAGTCAGGGTGTCTCAGGAAGCGCTGCACGTGCCACCTGATCAGTGCTGGTAGAAACTGCACCACTTTCCCTCCGTGCCCCAGACACGGGTTTTCAGTTTACCCATCGCTAAGGTGACCCAGGTGCACTCCTGCCACTGATTGTCCAGCCGTACAATGTCTTGACCCCAAAGAGACCCCAGAAGCTATTTTCTGAGAAGTAAGGTATCCTTAACAGAGTGGGGGAGATGCTCCGACAGTTGAGCAGGCTTAATGGTTCCTTCATGTTGTTTCGGAGTGGCTGTGGTCTGGATGCGGGTTGTCCCCTGCAGGCTCACGGGCTGACAGCTTGGTCCCCAAGGTGGTGTTATTGAGGTGGTGATACCTTTAAGAGGTGGGGCCTCATGTCACTGGGGGCACTCTTCAGAGACTGGGTTGTCACAAAACACCCCACACATTCGACCCCTCCTCCATGCAGCTCTTTCCCTTCCTGTTGCTCTGCCATCTTGCCTCCAAAACTGAGGGCGAGGTAAACCTTGCTTTAAGAAGTGCCCAGCCTCAGTAGGAACAATAATACAGAAGCAAATCATAGCACAGAACTAACATAGGAGCAGACCAGAGTGAAGCATTCGTGATACATGGTGGTGGTGGGGGGTGGTTTCTCACTGATGCCATAACCAAGCACCACGCCAGTTGTTTTGCGTATGTACGTTATGCTGCAAGGCTCAGCAACTAGACACAAGACGAGGGCCATCTCAGAGGGTTCATTACAGATACTCTGGCTACTGTCCTGCTGGATGGCCTCCAAGTCACATTGATCCGCCCCGGGGCTGCATGTCCAGGATGGCTGTTGTGATTAGATAAGATTAGATAGCTGGTGCCGCGGCTCACTAGGCTAATCCTCCGCCTTGTGGCACCGGCACAGCGGGTTCTAGTCCCAGTCGGGGCGCCGGATTCTTTCCCGCTTGCCCCTCTTCCAGGCCAGCTCTCTGCTGTGGCCCGGGAGTGCAGTGGAGGATGGCCCAAGTGCTTGGGCCCTGCGCCCCATGGGAGACCAGGATAAGTACCTGGCTTCTGCCATTGGATCAGCGCGGTGCGCCGGCCACTGCGGCCATTGGAGGGTGAATCAACGGCAAAGGAAGACCTTTCTCTCTGTCTCTCTCTCTCACTGTCCACTCTGCCTGTCAAAAAATAAAAAAAGATAAGATTAGATAAAGTGTGTGAAACAGGGATCACCGTGTTAGGTGGGAGTAAAGTTGCAGTACATTGCTTAGGATTGTCACCACACAGTGGAGCCATAATGCACTCTCTGGAATGACATCTGGTCTCTGGAAGTGTTCATGAGAGAGAGAGAGAGAGACAGAGAGAAAGGTCTTCCTTTATCCGTTGGTTCACCCCCCAAGTGGCTGCCATGGCTGGTGTGCTGTGGCCGGCACACTGCACTGATCCGAAGCCAAGAGCCAGGTGCTTCCTCCTGGTCTCCCATGGGGTGCAGGGCCCAAGCACTTGGGCCATCCTCCACTGCACTCCCTGGCCACAGCAGAGAGCTGGCCTGGAAGAGGGGCAACTGGGACAGAATCCGGCGCCCCAACCGGGACTAGAACCTGGGGTGCTGGTGCCGCAGGCGAAGGATTAGCCAAGTGAGCCGCGGCGCCGGCCATGAACTGTCCTTTAAACACCAAGTCTTCTGGAGCCCCGCAAGCTGACCTTACCTGTCGTCAGCCTAATGAGAATACGAATAATGCAAAATACAAGAATCAAGTGTACGGAAACTTTAGAAGGAGGATGGATTGGCTCTCTTTTTCACTACTTTCACTGAATACCTGAGGCTGGGTGAGTTTTAAAGAAAAGAGGTTTCTTGGCCGGCGCCGTGGCTCACTAGGCTAATCCTCCACCTTGCAGTGCCGGCACACCAGGTTCTAGTCCCGGTCGGGGCGCCAGATTCTGTCCCAGCTGCCCCTCTTCCAGGCTGGCTCTCTGCTGTGGCCAGGGAGTGCAGTGGAGGATGGCCCAGGTGCTTGGGCCCTGCACCCCATGGGAGACCAGGAGAAGCACCTGGCTCCTGAAAAAAAAAAAAAAAAAAAAGAGGTTTCTTTTGGCTCAGGATTCTGGAGGTACAAGGTCTGGGGGCCACATCTGGGGGTGGTCTTCTTGCTGGCAGAGGCAAGGCTGTGCAGGGGTCACGTGGCAAGAGACAGGATGCATGTGCAAGTGTCTGTGTGTATATATGTGTGTGTGTGTGTGTATATGTGTATGTATGTGAGTGCATGTGTTTATGTATGTGTGTATTGTGTGAGTACGTGTGTGTGTCTGTCTGTCTGTCTGGGCTCTCCCTCTTGAGATCAAGCCACCAGGATTCCATCATTGAGGTTCAACCTATTGTACTTATCTAAGGTTAATCACCATCCAAGGTGGTTTAGTTGGATTGAATTTCCACCCTCTTTATTCTTCACAGTGGGGATTAAATTCCAGTACCTGAAGCCCTGGGAAACACTCAAGCCATATCCAGGAGCCAAAGCACTTGCGCCATCTTTGGCTGCTTTCCCAGGTTCTTTAGCAGAGAGCTGGATCGGATCAGAAGCAGAGCAGCTGGAACTGGAACAGGTGCTCATGTGGGATGCTGGTGCCACAGGTGCAGCTTAACCCTCTGCACCACATCGCCAGCCCCCACGGGCTATTCCTCTTGAAGCTTGATGATTGATACCTCAGGAGGACCTTGATCTTGTTGGGGGTGTCACTCTTTTTTTTTTTTTTTTTTTTTTGACAGGCAGAGTGGACAGTGAGAGAGAGACAGAGAGAAAGATCTTCCTTTTGCCGTTGGTTCACCCTCCAGTGGTCGCCGCGGCTGGCGTGCTGCGGCTGGCGTGCTGCGGCTGGCATGCTGCGGCCGGCGCACCACACTGATCTGAAGCCAGGAGCCAGGTGCTTCTCCTGGTCTCGCATGGGGTGCAGGGCCCAAGTACTTGGGCCATCCTCCACTGCACTCCCGGGCCACAGCAGAGAGCTGGCCTGGAAGAGGGGCAACCGAGACAGAATCCGGCGCCCCGACCGGGACTAGAACCCGCTGTGCCGGTGCCACAAGGCGGAGGATTAGCCTATTGAGCCGCGACCCCGGCTAGGGGGTGTCACTCTTTAGAAAGGAAGAAACCAAGATCCTCACTCCTTCTAACACCGGAGTGTGGGGTTGCCAGTGCCAGTGAAAGCGGCAGTGCCTCCTCAGCGGATGCTCTTCCTAGGAGCGGAGATTTGCTTCCATTCTGTTAGGGAGAAAATGTTACTGCTTCCATGTGTGCCGGTCTCAGTGCAGAGCTGCTGTAAATTGAGATTTTTGAGTGCGACACACAGAAGTGGAAGTGCTCAACAGCATGGTTTCAGAAATGATAGCTTTATCTCTGCTTAAGTGACAAAATCCCATTATCTCCTACAATAGATTCATTTTCCCAAAGGGCATCTCTAGATTATCAAAGCACTGTTAATTTTAATGGACTTAATTTAATAAATAGGTGTCAGTCAAACACTTGCTGCAGAGCTGGGAGGACTGGATAGAGGCGTTGCCATTAGATCAGTTCTGTTAGGATACAGCATTGCAGCTCCAGGAGGGCTAAGGGCACTTCCCAAAAGCAGTAGGGCGGAATCCTCCCAGGGGGGTAAGCAGAGAATCCAGGAGAAAATTCTGGGAGAAACCAGAGCTTTTCATCAGACTTTTTCCCTGTAAGCCCTTACATCCCCGAAAGCCTCTTAACAACTAAATAATTTATTTGGTAGTCTCAGAAAATATAATAAACTGTCGATTTTAGATGAGTTTAATATTGAACTCCTGTGCATTTAATAATGTAAGCTAATGATTTGCATGTTTGTCTTTCCAGCAGAGTGTAATTTTATCACACTGCCCTGGGTTGCTAATTTAGTGTATCAATGGCGAAGAGATTTTTGAAAGGCCATTTTCTCTTTTTATTGCCTTCTGGGAGATCTTGGTGGTGAGAATAGACCAGGCAATGTAGCAATCGGTGTGCTTTCTCCCAACATGTGTTTGTTGTCCTCTATTTCCATTTTTCTTGTGTTCTTCTCCCATAAAAGTGACTGGTCTGTGCTTTATGAAATTCATGCACATTTCAAAGCTGCGGCTCCCCAGGGCCTGGTGTCTGAAGGAGTGTGATCTCGTCCCCAGTGTGTGTCATCTTCCCGTGTGCATCCACGCAGCACGCATGGCAGTGTGTGAGCATAAGACACATTCACTAGGCGCCTCTGTATATTGCGGGCCTTGGTCTTTGTAATGGCTCAAAAGAGGGCATGGGCAGGGTTTATTTTCCTTCATTTGCAAGGGAGGAAATGGAACTGGGAGTGTGGGTCCAGGGGCTTTGGGACCTACTCCTCCCAAGTCCAGCACCAGGACTCTCTGCCTACACCACTGCCTCATTCAAGGAGCTTGGAGATGAGACCCAGGTGTGCCCCTGTCCGTCTCTTGGCCTACCTCTTGCTTTCTCTCTCTCTGGGACTGAGTAGCTCCATCTCTCTCTTGGTATGGCTAGTGCATTCTCATTCATGAAGGCCGTGTTCAGACATCACCTCCTCCAAGAAGCCCTCTTAACACACCCCTGAGAACTGAATTACGTGCTACAGAAGCCACTCAACCTCTTAGGGTTAAAATGATCAGCTTCTTGCAGATTCGTCATGACAAAGACAGCTGCCCACCCCTGCCCGGCCCTGCAGCAGCCACACTGGCCTCCTGGCTGTCCCCTGCACCGGCCACACTCCCTGCTGGCCTGTGCCCTCACTGTGCTGCTGCCTGAGGGTTCTTCCTACAGGTGTCTGTGGCTCATTGCTGTCCTCCCCCAGCTCATCGCTCAGATGTCACCCTCTCATCATTCCTCTTTAGTCCATGCACCTGCTATAGCAAAATACCAGGGACCGTCTCACTCACAAACAGCAGAAATTCATTTCTCATGGTTCTGGAGGTGGGGAAGCCCCGGATCAACATGCTGGCAGACCCTGTGTGTGGTCAGGGCCCTTGCTCTCTTGAACATGGACTTCATGTTCCTGCCGTGTCTTCACAGGGTGGAAGAGGCCAGCCTACTGTCTGGACTCTTTTCTATAAAGGCACTAATCCTATTCGTGAGGGCTCCACCCCCTGACCTAATCTCATTTTAGGGGTTAGGTTTTGTTTTTGTTTGTTCTTACCTATAAAACTTTTATTTAAGGTATACAAACTTCCTGCATTTCACATATACAAATTTAGGGCCGGCGCCGTGGCTCAGTAGGCTAATCCTCCGCCTTGCGGCGCCGGCACACCAGGTTCTAGTCCCGGTCGGGGCGCCGGATTCTTTCCCGCTTGCCCCTCTTCCAGGCCAGCTCTCTGCTGTGGCCAGGGAGTGCAGTGGAGGATGGCCCAAGTGCTTGGGCCCTGCACCCCATGGGAGACCAGGAGAAGTACCTGGCTCCTGCCATCAGATGAGCGTGGTACGCTGGCCGCAGCATGCCGGCCGCGGCGGCCATTGGAGGGTGAACCAACGGCAAAGGAAGATCTTTCTCTCTGTCTCTCTCTCTCACTGTCCACTCTGCCTGTCAAAAAAAAAAAAAAAAATTTAGAAGCAAAGTGATTCTCCCCACTCTACCCTCCCTCCTGCATTTCCATATAAATTTCAGCATCATTTTTTTCTAGATCTGAGAAGATGTCCTTGGTATTTTGATTTGAATCACATTGAACCTGTAAATTGCTTTCAGTAGTATGGACATTTCAATAATATCTCTTCTTCCAATCCATGAACTTGGAAGATTTTTCCATTTTCTTGTGTCTTCTATTTCTTTCTTCAATGTTTTGTAATTTTCATCGTAGATCTTTGACATCCTTGGTTAAATTTATTGCAAGGTATTTAATTTTTTGTAGCTATTGTGAATGGGATTGATCTTAGAAGTTCTTTCTCAACCAAGGCATTGTCTGTGTATTCAAAGTCTATTGATTTTTGTGCGTTAATTTTATATCCTGACACTTTACCAAACTCTTTTATGAGTTCCAATAGTCTCTTAGTGAGTCTTTTGGATCCCCTATAGACAGAATCATGTCATCTGCAAATAGAGATAGTTTGACTTCCTCCTTCCCAATTTGCATCCCTTTTGTTGCTTTTTCTTGCCTAATGGCTCTGACTATAACTTCCAGGACTCCATTGAATAGTAATGGTGAGAGTGAACATCCTTGTCTGATTCTGGATTTTAGTGGGAATGCTTCCAACTTTTCCTCATTCAATAAGATGCTGGTCATGGGTTTGCCATAAATTGCCTTGATTGTGTTAAGGAATGTTTCTTCTTTACCCAGTTTCCTTAAGGTTTTCATCATGAAAGGATGTTGTATTTTATCAAATGCTTTCTCTGCATTTAGTGAGATAATCATGTGTTTTTTGTTCTTCAATTTGTTAGTGTGATGTATTACATTTATTGACTTGTGAATGTTGAACCATCCCTGCATACCAGGAGTAAATCTTACTTGGTCTGGGTAAACGTCTTTCTGATATGTTGTTGGATTCGATTGGTTAGTATTTTGTTGAGAATTTTGCAGGTATGTTTATCAGGGAAATTAGTCTGTAGCTCTTTCTTGTTGTATTGTTTTCTGGTTTAGGAATTAAAGTGATGCTGATTTCATAGAAGGAGTTAAGAAGGATTCTTTTCCTTTTAATTTTTCTGAATTGCTTGAGAAAAATTGCAGTTAGTTCTTCTTTAAATGTCTGGTAGAATTTAACAGTGAAGCCACCTGGTCCTGGGTTTTTTTTTGTTGGGAGGGTCTCTATTACTGATTCAATCTCCATCTTGGTTATTGGTCTATTTAGGTTTTCTGTGTCTCCATGGCTCAATTTTGGTAGATTGTATGTGTCCAGGAATTTGTCCATTTCTCCCGGGTTTCCCGATTTGTTGGCATACAGCTCTTTGTAGTAATTCCTGATGATTCTTTTTATTTCTGTGGTATCTGTGTTACATTGCCTTTTTCATTTCTGATTTTGTTTTATTTTTGGTTAGTTGGGCCAATGGTGTGTCAGTTTTGTTTATTTTTTCAAAAAACTAGCTCTTCATTTTGTTAATCTTTTGTATTTTTTTGTTTCAATTTTGTTTATTTTCTAATTTTAGTTTTTTTTTTTTCTACTACTAATTTTAGGTTTGGTTTGTTGTTGTTTTTCTAGGTGCTTGATATACATTGACAGCTAATTTTTGGTGCCTTTCCAATTTCTTGATGGAAGCGCCAATTGCCATAAACATCCCTCTTAACACTGATTTTGTGGTATACCATAAGTTTTTTTTTAAAGATTTTATTTATTTATTTGAGAGGTAAAGTTACAGACAGTGAGAGGGAGAGATAGAAAGGTATTCTGCCCGCTGGTTCACTCCTCAGATGGCTGCAATGGACAGAGCTGTGCCAATCCAAAGCCAGGAGCCAGGTGCTTCTTCTGGGTCTCCCACACAGGTGCAGGGGCCCAAGGACTTGGACCATATTCTACCGTTTTCTCAGGCCACAGCAGAGAGCTGGACGGGAAGAGGAGCAACCGGGACTAGAACCCGGCACCCATATGGGATGCTGATGCTGCAGGTGGAGGATTAACCTAGTGTGCCACAGTGCCGGCCCCAATATCCCATAAGTTTCGATATGTTGTATTGTCATCTTGATTCATTTCCAGAAATTTTTTTGATTTCTTCTGTGACCCACTGTTCATTCAGGAGCATGTTGTTCAGTCTCCAGGTGTTTGCGTATGTTCTAGAGATCTATTGATCTATCGCCTTCACAAGAAAACATATCTGATAGGCAGTCATCCACTGCTCTAAGCCAAATGTTTTGAACAAAGGCCTGGCTATCTTGCAGAGTGGCTGGTTGACCATTTTCGTGTTGGGTGAAAGCGTGTCTACAGCCACCTCAGGGTCTTCACTCAGCTTGGTCCTCTCAGCAGGTGCTGCCTTCCCGGCTGGCCTGAGCAAAGTCTAGTGTGAGATGGTCATCAGGCCAGATTAAAGATGGTTGTACTCTCTCTGAAACTGGTAGTAAACACATTGTGGAATCCATTGTTTAGCACGTAGCAGATACATAGCAGAGAAATAAGAGGGGAGGGTGCAGGCACTGTGGTATAGCAGGTAAAGCCACTGCCTGTGATGCCAGCATCCCATATGGGCGCCAGTTCAAGTCCCAGCTGCTCCTCTTCCAATCCAGCTCTCTGGTATTGACTTGGGAAAGCAGTAGAAGATGGCCCAAATCCTAGGGCCCCTGCACCTGCGTGGGAGACCCAGAAGAAGCTCCTGGCTCCTGGCTTTGGATCAGCCCAGCTGGATGGAAGACCTTTCTCCTCTGTCTCTCCCTCTCTCTGTCTATAACTCTACCTCTCAACTAACTAACTAAATAAATCCCTTTTTAAAAAATAAATAATATGGGAGCTTTTGGAGCTGGATTTTAGTTAATTGATTTTTGTTTTATGACAAATCAGCGCATTTGGGATAATGTTTATTGTTCAGTCCAATCCATGATTGTTTGTTGGGTCCTTTACCTAATCAGTGAGTTCTTCAGTGAGTGCCCATGTTAGGGCCCGTAAATGAGGTCTGCAGCGCTGTGTTCAGTGCTCTGGACTTGGGAGTGCGCACAACAGGTACCATCTGTCAGGGAAGGCACACGCCCCAGAGACGCATCCTGCTTGCTCAGCACTGGGGCTCCGGGGCCGGGGCCGGGCTCCCAGGTATCACTGGGGTTGCGCTGCTGAGCGTAGCACTGCTGTGTGCCACACGTGCGCGGTGCGTCCCAGGTCTCTCTTCATCCATTTATTCCTTCAGTCGTTCTCTTAACAAACCACTGTCGACCATTGATGGCTTTGAGCGAGACACACAGGGCCTTTCTAGCCCCACCCCCATCCGGCCCCCTAGACCACACTGGAGCTGACCTGGCTGAGCCCTTCAGCTGGCCAGGCCCACGGCCCCACTTCCAAGGTCAGCGCAGTCACACCCCTTGTCTGCCCATGGCCTCCCTCTGCCCACCCTGCCGGCAGGCTGGAACGTGCAGGGAGCTGCCACAGCCCTCAGGGTGAACAAGGAGCTCGTCTCTCACGTCCCTTCTGTTCCATTTCCAGGTGCAGAAGAAAAGGGAGAGGAATTTGCTAGCATGCTCACAGAGCTGCTCTTTGAATTGCATGTCGCGGCCACACCTGACAAACTTAATAAGGTCAGCACGTCTGCTTCTGAGAGAACGTGTGTGTGTGTGTGTGTGTGTCCACGTGTGTGCACGTGCGCGCGTGCATGTTCAAGGGTCTCAGTCGGAAAGTCCCAGAGATCTACCGGAAACAGAAAAACTGAGGCCCATGTGGCACAGTGAGGCCAGAAGAATTTGGGGGTCCATCATGAAGTCCATCGGTGGGGGCTTTGTGATGAAATTGATGGGAGTATATGCTGGGCCGTGGCGTGAGACCCACATTTGCACTGCGTTTTTCTTTTTTTAAAGATTTCATTTATTTATTTGAGAGGAGAGTTACAAATAGTGAGAGAGAGAGACAGAGAGAAGTGTCTTCCTTCTGTTGGTTCACTCCCCAAATGGCTGCAATGGCTGGAGCTGTGCCAATCCAAAGCAAGGAGCCAGGAGATTCTTCTGGGTCTCCCATGTGGGTGCAGGGGCCCTAGGACTTGGGCCATCTTCTACTGCTTTCCCAGGCCGCAGCAGAGAGCTGGATCAGAAGTGGAGCAGCCAGGTCTTGAACTGGCACCTTATGGGATGCTGGCACTACAGGCGGTGGCTTAACCCTCTAGGCCACAGCACCAGCCCCTGCACTGCATCTTGGTAGTGACCTTGTGACCTTGAACAAGTCTGCTACCCTCTGCAGGTGAGAGGAACAGCTCAGTACTTGGTCGCACAGCAGGGGAGCATCTTCAGGATAGGGGAGGGAGGAGGGACCTTGGAAACACCAAGGGACTTTTTCAAAGTCCAGCCCCTCCCCCCTTAAAGAGACAGGCAGGGTTAGGCAGCAGGAGGCCCATCAGCCAGGTGAACTGCAGGACCTCTGCCAGCGGGACCGCTGCTGCTGTGTCTGGAGAACATCCCAGCTCTAGCAGTGGGCGGCGCACCTAACGCTGCGGTAGGCTCTGTAGGTCAGGATAAAGGCCGGCTGTGAAGTGTCTTAGGAAGCCGCTGATCGTTAATTACTTAAAGCTGTGTGATATTTTCCCACGTTCTCCCTCTCCTCCGCCTCCCTGCTTTCTAGAAGGGCGGCCCACACAGACACTCACTCATCAAGGTGGCTGGAGAAGGGCAGAGTGAGGCAGCAGGGTGGCAGGATGAGTAATTTCTTTATCTCCTACAGGGGTCACTGATTCCAGCAGGTCGGTGACTTGAACACAGCAGGAAATTACCTCATTCATCTGCCTGCGGCACCTGCCATGCTCAGAGGGGGCGGGTGCTGGCTCCAAGGTTGCACTGGCTTATTTACCTGAACGGGGTAAACCTTTGTCCCTGAAAGAGGAAACACCAAGGACATTTCTGTTGGTTTCTTTCTTCCCCAAACGTGCTTGCTGATAGCTCGGCATTCTACACTCTGAGGCATTAAACTTGGACGTCTGAGCTTTAAGGGGAGAAGGCACAGTAGCATAACCTCAGAAACAATAGTACTGAGGCAAACAGCTTCAACTGTCATGATAAAATGTGGGTCAACCTGCCCTTTCTACATTAACAGATAGCAGGTAGGCAAAATGGTTTCTGCTCCTATGGTTTAGCCATGATTTTTTTAAAAAGACTTATTTATGTATTTATTTTAAAGGCAGAATTACAGAGAGGCAGAAGCAAGGAAAGAGAGGTCTTCTATCCACTGGTTCACTCCCCAGATGGCCGCAATGGCCGGAGCTGTGCTGATCCGAAGCCAGGAGCCAGGAGCTTCTTCCGGTCTCCCACACGAGTGCAGGGGCCTGAGGACTTGGGCCATCCTCTACTGCTTTCCCAGGCCATAGCAGAGAGCTGGATCGGAAGTAAGGCAGCTGGGACTCGAACCAGCACCCATATGGGATGCCAGCACTGCAGGTGGTGGCTTTTACCCACTATGCCACAGTACCAGCCCCTAACCATGATTTTTAAGGCCATGGGTTGCTTAAACAGAGCTCATGTGAAGTTAAGCTCATCTGGGGCAGGTGCATAGCCTATCAGTTAAGATGCCCGCATCCTACGTTGGGGTGCCTGGACTCCAGCTTCCTGCCGGTGCAGACCCTGGGAGGCAGCAGTGATGGCACCAGTGACTGGGTTCCTGCCACCCACAAGGGAGACTTGGCTCAAGCACCCGGCTCTGGCCATTACAGACGTGTGAACCAGTGCATGGGAGTGTGCTCTTTCTCTCTCTATCCCTCTGCCTCTCAAATACATTAAGTGAATAGAATTAAATAATTTTAAAGGCATCACAGAGCAGCTTCAGGTCTTCCCAGAGCTCCTGTGTGAGGCAGGAGGAGCAGAACCATCTCCTCTGCCCAGCGTGATGTGTGATTGGGCTCAAGAAGCATTAAGAGGGCCAGTGCCGCGGCTCACTAGGCTAATCCTCCGCCTGCGGCGCCGGCACACAGGGTTCTAGTCTCTGTCGGGGCGCCGGATTCTGTCCCGGTTGCCCCTCTTCCAGGCCAGCTCTCTGCTGTGGCCCGGGAGTGTAGTGGAGGATGGCCCAGGTGCTTGGGCCCTGCACCCCATGGGAGACCAGGATAAGTACCTGGCTCCTGCCATCGGATCAGCGCGGTGCGCCGGCCGCAGCGCACTGGCCGCGGCGGCCATTGGAGGGTGAACCAACAGCAAAGGAAGACCTTTCTCTCTATCTCTCTCTCTCACTGTCCACTCTGCCTGTCAAAAAAAATTTTTTTTTAATTTATTAAAAAAAAAATAAGTCTTAAGAGCTTCCTGAGACCTGTCAGATGAGAAAATGCTTTAGCCATGGCCTTGGCTAAGTTTCTAACCTGTGTAGAAAAAAGAGAGTGTTTTTCTTTGATAGTTGGTCATGGAAAGTGAGAGATATACTACAGATCTTTCTCTGAATATCAGTTTTAAATGCTGCTGTAAAAGTCCTGGCATGAGCATTTGGCTTAGCAGTTAAGACACCACTTGGGACACCCACATCCCTTACCAGAGTGCCTGGGTTCAAGTCCCAGCTCTGTTCCTAATTCCAGCATCCTGCTAATGTGTACTCTGGGAAGCAGCAGTGATGACTCAAGTAGTTGGGTCCCTGCCACTTACCTGGGAGACCTGGATTGAGTTCCCAGCTTCAGCCTGGCCCAGCCCTGGCTGTTGTGGGCAATTGAGGAGTGAACTAGCAGTAAGAGATCTTTCTTTTGAGTGTCTATCGCTCTGCCTTTCAAATAAATAAGTAAATGATTTTTTGAAAAGGTTTATTTATTTATTTGAAAGAATTACAGAAGGAGAGGGGGAGATGGGGGAGGAGAAGGAGAGAGAGAGAGAGAGAGAGCACTTCCATCCACTGGCTCCATCCCCAGGTGGCCACAATGGCCAGCACTGGGCAGGCCAAAGCCAAGAACTTCATCTGGGTCTCCAGTGTGAATGGCAAGGGCCCAAGTATTTGGGCCATCTTCTGTTGCTTTTCCCAGGCTGTTAGCAGGGAGCTGAACTGGAAGTGGAGCAGCTGGGACAGGAACCGGCCCCTTAACCTGCTGCGCCACAACACCCACCCCAGCCCCTGCTACTCTTTAAACACAGAGACCCACTCTTGAAAGCGAGAGCACCTTCATCCTAGTTGTGGGGCTGGGAAATCCTTGATTTCCAGCACTGCATAATAAATGCATGTTTTTTGGTTGTAGGCCATGAAGAAAGCTCATGACTGGGTGGAAGAAGGACAAACGCCAGTGTCAGTAGATGTGGCCAAAGAGTCAGAGGCCGAGACCAAGGAGGAGAAGCCTGGAGACCCTCAAGAAGTCGAACAGGAAGAAAAGAGATCCAAGACAGTAGAGGTAAGTTTATGCTAGGCTGTCCACTCCAGGGCAGTAATATTATGCTATACACATAGGAATGTAATAAGCACTGAAAGTTCTATATGCCAGGATCAGTCTTGGCGTAGCATAGAGTTTGTTGCTTTTCTCTATAGCCTTACAATTACTATTTAAAGGGGAAAAGATCTTTAACAACCGAGTTGACTTACCTCTAGAGTAGAACTCCATCTTGTATGTAAATATGTTACTATAAAATGTCTTTATGCTCCATAACTAATAGGGTATTTGAAGCTTTTTGAAAAATTTCATTGCTGCAGTTCATAGTCTGTAGTTTAATACATTTCTGGGTGCATAGTTTATATCTTGCCTGTGTTCAAAAGGGAAGTTTGTGGAACAGGTGTTTGGCCTAGTGGTTAAGATGTCTCTTGGACAGCCATGGCCCATGTTGGAGGTCCTGGGTTTGAGTTCTGATGCAGCTCCCAGTCGCAGCTTCCTGCTAACATGCACCCTGGAAGGCAGCAAGCGATGGCTCAAATCCTTATGTCCTTACCACCCATGTGAAAGACCCAGACTGAGCTCCTGACTTCTGAGTGGTGTTGGCAGGCATTTGGGGAAGTGAACAGAAAGATGGGAGAGCTCTGTCTCTCTCTGTCTCTACGCCTTTCAAATACAGAAATCAATAATCTTATAAAAATTAATTTGAAAAGGAGATTGCAGTAGTGTCACCCTATGTTGAATTTTAGTTTTTAAAAAGTAACTTTTAGATCAGATCACTCTAAGGAGAAACGTCCCTTGAGATTGGTTCACTCAGCCTGCCTTGCGCACAGCCTCTGTCCACCTGCCTGTAGTATGGCCAGCATCACTCTGAGTCCTTGGAGTACAGCTGGGAGCAGCCTTGCCCCATTCCTGGGAACCCAGTGGCACTTCCATTTCATGGCAGCATTCCACTAAGGGAAGCCTGAAATGCGTCCATCACCTTTCGGGTAAACTTTGTTACACTTGATGTTTTCTTGAAGAGTTGTGTTTTTGCTTTTATGTCACAGGGTTTTAAAGAGAAAGCATTGGTTCAGTGAATAATTTCTTACTTGCACTTGTTTATTCCAGGAAGTGTACATGTTGTCCATTGAAAGCCTGGCAGAAGTTACAGCACGCTGCATTGAACAGCTTCATAAAGTAGCAGAATTAATTCTTCACGGGCAAGAAGAAGAAAAATCAGCTCAGGACCAAGCAAAAGTTCTGATAAAGTAACTGCTCTTTTTATTCCTATTTTTCCAACTGAAATATGAATAAATATGTATATGTGCCATTCAGCTACTTCACATGCATACACACCCTAGGCTACTAAAGATTCAGATTTCAAGTCAACTAATGCGTTTGTTCTATGGTCACTTTAAGAAATAAGGACCCCCTTAAGAAAGGCATTATGTTAACAAAAAGAAGAAAAACTAACTAGACATTCTAGGAATTATTTATGAAGAGATCTAAAGGAAGATATACTAAATGATTTACAGCTAGGAAATGTTTATTTTAGTAGATTGAAGTCTTAGAAGTACAGAACTGTGAGGGTAATTATATTTTCAACATACCACAGGAAGGAAGGGAGGACACTATAATGTAACTTCTCAGCTAGCCTCGCAGAAATAGACAGACTGTGCCTCAGACTTGGACCAGCTCTGTGTGCTCTGACCTCCACTGTTGATGGTCTCTGCTGTAGGCTGGTTTACGGTGGATGGTGGGTGTGCTATAATACGTTATGTGTTGTGTTCTTCCATGATTAGCAGCTATTTTATTAGTTCATCTAGTGAAATTAAAACATGTATAAGTGTACGTAGATTTACATATCTGTATATATATATATGTGAAAATAATTGGTATGGAGTATTCATGAAAATAGCAGGTATGTGGCTAAAAATGAACCATCAACTTTGATGCATGTGATTATATATTGTGAAAATTAACACAGATCCAATACTCACTCATTATTATAAAGGTTTGGGAGCCAAAATAAGAGCACCCCGAAAATATGTGGGGACACACATAGCTCGATACTTTCACACCCTATGCCAGCTAACAGTCTTTGCTTATTTCTGCATTGGCATTGTAGGCTAGGGAGTAAATTTTTAGTTGAAGGACTTTCCAAAATGTCAATATCAGTGTCTTTGTTTGGTGGTATTTTCTTCATTTGTAAAGATTTGTCATCTAGTTTGGATTTTCAAATCTTAACATGTAAAAATCAAAGAGGTTATAAGAACCACATTAATTTCTTCCCTTACTATTCCTATAGGGGATATGCACTTACCTCAGTGTGTAGAAGGAGGAGACAAGGACAAAATAGGAAAGGTTTAAAATATTGAGGACAACACCTCGGTCTTGTTGAATCTTTGCAGTTCTGAATTGAATGAGGAGGGCTGAAGTTGAGATGTTCATTGGCATTCTTAGCTCCATTCTGCTTGCCAGCCTGATTACCCCCGTGTTACCAAGCTGCACCCAACCCTTATTTCTCTGTACCATAAGTGCTGTTCTACCCACCTGCCCAGGATGTAGAGAGAATGTCTCTGGTGTCTCCTGACCTTGATCCTTTCTGCAAACAGGTTTTGAATGGATGGGTGGATGGATTTAGCTCATCAAATTCTGCATGCATGAGTTAGACAGGGCATATATTTGATAAAACTTACCTCTCTGACTTCACTTTTAACATATAAGATCCTTAACTTGGCTTATTTTTTCTCTAATAGCATTTTAATCACTATTCATAAAAGTCATGTAAACATATTGCTACAAAAAAAACAGACAATACCCATATTGTTAGGTAATTAGATTGTTCTTAATTTCTGTCATCATCCATAATGTTAGGATAGCGTTGTTTTGGTTTAATATCTGTGTCCATCTTGCATTATTTTCTTGAGGGTAAAGTCCTAGAAATGGATTGGCTAGAATAAACTTGGAATTTTGGTATGTCTTAAAAAATATTCTCCAGGATCTTTGAGGCATCTAATAAATACATGGTCCAAATATTAAGAGAGAGCTGAGTTTCCTCCTACTTCTGCTGGTCACTGCTCCTGTCCTAAGCAGGCTCCTGGATCATCTTAAGGTTTCTTCATTTATATACAATGAAAATGATACTATTACCTGTAAGGTCATTGTGAGGATTAAAGGTAACTAAGCATACAGAAGTACTTAACACAGGGCCTTAGCAAATGTTTATTATTATTTCACAATGACCAAAAAGCTGGGGACGAGCCAGCTGGCAAAGGTTTGTGCCCCCTCTCAACGTGGAACTCAAGCCTGGTGTGTTTCTGTAGCCTGTTTTGATTCTCCAAAGATGTCAAATGAGTGAGATGATTATGCCTTCATTAAGTCTGGAGAGAAGACCTTGTTGAGATTCATCTTACTGAATCTTGGATTATGATGGATGAAAGCCGTCCGTAGCACACCTTCCCGCTGTGAGCTGGCCTTTGAACTGGAATGCTGTGTGCAGACAGTTAAACTCTTTGACATCACAGCCTCTTCTTTCCCCTTATTTCAGGTTGACTACTGCAATGTGCAAAGAAGTGGCCTCCTTATCAAAGAAGTTTACGAATTCCTTAACCACTGTTGGGGTAAGATTCCAGTAGTGAGCCCTTTAGTCACTGTTTTAAAGAAGGGGGTACCTGGGGGGAGGCTATGAGGAATGATAGGGGATGTGGTACCTTCCCTGATGGTGCTGATACTGCTGAGTGATGAAGGCAGGCCACTAGCCCTCCCCCCTCCCCCCAGCCCTGCCATGACCGGCAGCTCAGGGCTCTTGTGACTGCCCCAGCCCCAAGTCCCCCATCTCAGACATACAACATGCTTCAGGCCTCTGTGGGCTCCATTGTCTTCATTTGTTTCAAAAAGTGTCAAACTAAGGTTGCTTCCATAACTTAGTATCTGTGAAACATCTAGTTCAAGAATCTCTGTCAGGGGCAGGTAGGTCTAGGAGGAGGACTGGGAATCTGTCGCTCTGACAAGTCTCAGGCCATGATGGCTCCTGATCCATGTATGCAGCAAGGCTCCCACAGATGGCTGTGCACTTGGACTTTAGACAGGGAGGCTTCAAAGGCTCCGGTAAAAGGCATGTTATGAAAAAGCCATGCATGGATTTCAAAATATTTTTGCACCAAAGTAACATATCTTTTTAATTCCATTTTTTATCAACTTTTTTTTTTTTTTTTTTTTTGGACAGGCAGAGTGGACAGTGAGAGAGAGAAACAGAGAGAAAGGTCTTCCTTTGCTGTTGGTTCACCCTCCAATGGCCGCCGCGGCCGGCGCGCTGCGGCCGGCGCACCGCACTGATCCGATGGCAGGAGCCAGGAGCCAGGTGCTTTTCCTGGTCTCCCATGGGGTGCAGGGCCCAAGCACCTGGGCCATCCTCCACTGCACTCCCTGGCACAGCAGAGAGCTGGCCTGGAAGAGGGGCAACCAGGACAGAATCCGGCGCCCCAACCGGGACCAGAACCCGGTGTGCCGGTGCCGCTAGGCGGAGGATTAGCCTAGTGAGCCGTGGCGCCGGCCTCAACTTATTTTTTTAAAATAAAGCACTCAATTTTTTTTTTAAGATTTATTTATTTATTTGAGAGGCAGAGTTATAGACAGAGAGAGGAAGAGATATAGAGATCTTCCATCCACTGGTTCACTCCCCAAATGGCCTTAACTGCCAGAGCTGGGCCAATCCAAAGCCAGGAGCCTGGAGCTTCTTCTGGGTCTCCCATGTGGGTATAAAAGGCCCAAGCACTTAGGCCATTTTCCACTGCGTTTCCAGGCCATTGGTAGGGAGCTGAATTGGAAGAGGAGCAGCCAGGACTCTAACTGGCACCCATGTGGGATGCCAGAGCTGCAGGTGGAGGCTTAACCTACTACACCACAGCACCGGCCCCATCAACTTTTTCTTTTGTTTTGTTTTTATTTTATTTGAAAGGCAGAGAGACCTTCCATCTGCTGTTTTACTTCTCCAAACACCTGCAAAAGCCAGGTCTAGGCCAGGCCAGAGCCAGGTGCCCAGAACTCAATCCAGGTCTCCCATGTAGGTGGCAGGGACCCTAGAAGTAGAGCCATCATCTGCTGCCCCATTGGTGTGCACTAGCAGGAAGCTGGATTAGAAGCAGTGTAGACCAGTCTTGAACCAGGCACTCTGACATGATGTGCAAAGACTTACCTGCCCCTCTGTGGGCTTGTTGAAGTCCTCTAGTGTGTACACACACTCCTGTACAAATGTTTGCATGCATAAAATCAGGAACACACATTTTCAGTTTGGGAAAAGGAAAAGCAGAAGTGAAATGCCACTGCACAGCGGCGTACCCCTAATCTTGTGCTCTGATAGAGCATTGACATGGAGGCACTGTTCCTGCTCTCGAAAGCAGCATTCTTTAGAACGTGAAGTTAATGAGTGTGTATCACTCTCCAGACTCTATTTAAATTGCTTGCACATCTCATTGATTCTGAAAACCAATGTCATTTTATTGCTTTCATTTTGATTATATTTTAGAGGTTTATTGATAATCAAATAAACATGAAAGCAAATACCGTAATGGATTTTCTGGTTACTTACTAAAATGACTATGTTTTTAAAAAGGTTTTTCCCAAGACTCCATTATGCTTTCCCCAGTAAGACATTATATTCCCCTCAGCAGAGTAATGTCAGTGTAAGTGGGAAGATATGTTTAATTTATATGCTTTTGTTTACCACAAGCTCTTCTAGATATTACGAGGAAAATGACCTGTTAAGATTGCCCTCTCTCCCCAGTCTCCTTAATGAATTATTGTCCATGAGTAGGTTCAGCATCTCAGAGAAGATTGTTGACTGATAGACCGATAGTGGGGATAAGGATAATGATACTGAGCCTAGCTCCCACTTTTTTTTTGTTAAGGTTTATTTACTTATTTGAAAGGCAGAGCTACAGAGAGGCAGAGGCAGTGAAAGTGAGAGAGGTCTTCCATCCACTGGTGCACTCCCCAGATGGTCACAACAGCTGGAGCTGAGCTGATCTGAAGCCAGGAACCAGGAGCTTCTTCCCTGTCTCCCATGTGGGTACAGGGACCCAAGGACTTGGGCCATCTTCTGCTTTCCCAGGCCATAGCAGAGAGCTGGATGGGAAGTGGAGCAGCCAGGACTTAAACTGGTGCCCATATGGGTTGCCGGCACTGCAGGCTGGGGGCTTTACCCGCTATGCCACAGTGTCGGCCCCCTAGCTCCCACTTTTTGATCTCCTACTTCATGCCATGTTCTGTGCTTCATGTTTTACATGTTTTTGTGTTTCTCAGGCTCTGACTCTGCAGACTTGTTCGCAATTATACATAAGAATGTTTTAGGGATGAGCATTGAACCTGGCTAAGCCATTAGGATGCTGGTTAAGATGCCCACATCAAAGAACCTGGGCTTGATTCCCAATTCTAAAAACTCTTAACTCCAGCTTCCTGCTAATGCACACCCTGGGAGGCAGCAGGTGATGGCTCAAGTAATTGGATTCCTGCCACATGGGAGATGTGGATTGAGTTCCTAGTTCCAGCTTTGGCCAGGCCTAGCCCCAGCCCTATTGCATGCATTTGGGGAGTAAACCTGCAGGTATCAGTGTTTCTCTCTTTCTCTCTGCCAGTCATATAAATTTTTTAAAATTATACAAATAATGGGGCCCCCATCCCAGACTAATAGTAGAAAAGTAAAATAAGAGTGTTTTAATTTTGCTGTGAATCTGGAAGGTATCCTGTAACCAGGAACCCATGTTTACATTTAAAAGAAAGGAAAACAAGACTAGCTCAGAGTGGGGCTAGGGTAAGTGAATGAAGGACTTCCCTCACCTACAGAATGTGAGGGGCCATGAGGAAAAGAAAGCAGCCTCAGTGAGCTAGTGAGATGTTTTAATACAATATTTTGAGGGGCCAGCGCTGTGGTGCAGCCGGTTAATGCCCTGGCCTGAAGCACTGGCATCCCATATGGGCACCGGTTCGAGTCCCGGCTGCTCCTCTTCCAATCCAGCTCTCTGCTATGGCCTGGGATAGCAGTAGAAGATGGCCCAAGTCCTTGGGCCCCTGCATCCACATGGGAGATCCGGGGGAAGCTCCTGGCTCTTGGCTTCGGATGGGCGCAGCTCCGGCCATTGCAGCCATCTGGGGAGTGAACCAGCAGATGGAAGACCTCTCTCTCTCTCTCTCCCTCTCTCTCTCTCTCTCCTTCTCCTCTCTCTGTGTAACTCTGACTTTCAGATAAATAAATAAATCTTTAAAAAAGTAATATTTTGAAACATAAAAATGTGAAAATATCATGATAAACAAAATAACAAAATTTGAGGAGTTGAAGAGTCCAACCCCGTGTTTGGCAAAATTCCGGGTCACTAGCCTCACCCTGATCCCAGGCCTGCTGTGGTCTTTAAATAGCTCAGAAGGCCTGGGGTTACACTTCGAGCCATGTGCCCTTCCTTACCCAGGTTACTCAACCTCCCCCACTCCCAGGGTCTTGTCCATAAACTGGGGTTATCCCAGTGTCTACCTGCCTCCCAAGGTTTCTGTTGAAACGGAATGGGGTTCCATAGGCAGGCAGCGCACAGGACGCCTTCCGTCCACTTCTCGCCTTCCCTCCGACAGCTGCGTCCACAGAGCCGGTGCACTGCGTCGGACGTGGATGCCTTGGGGCATGAGCACCTAATGTGTCGCTTTCCTACTTTTGTCTCCGCAGAGCAACAAGAAGGCCGAGGCCCTGAATCCCATGATCAATAGCGTATTGTTGGAGGTAAGTGGCCCCCAGAGAGAGAAAGAAAGGGCCTTGGCATCCAAGCAGATGTTAGAGCTGCTTTTTTTTTTTTTTTTTTTATATTTATGTCTCTCCCAGGCAGCCTGTGTTATCTCGGTCCTAAATCTTACCATCAACGTCTGTTTTGAGTGCATTGGTGTAGCTCAGCCAGCTGTAAGTCCCCCGGGGAAGCAACAATACCTAATTTTCAAGAATTCCTGATTAGAAAAGAAGCGCTAAGCTTGCACGTTATTTCTGTCGGCGCTTCCTCCAGCAGAAGCAGGTGCCTGCTGCCAAGTCTGACACCAGATCTAGCGCTGTGGACGGTCTGCCACCACACTGTGGTGCGGCTCAGGGGTGATTTTCCTACGGACGGGCCCGGCACAGCATGCACCGTGGCCTTTGGTTTACTAAGCTCCAGGCTAGCAGACTTGACAAGTGGGGAGTGTGACCTTGCAGCAGAGGGCTCGTTCTGTGACCGCTCACTCCATGGCCTGCCCGCTCACCAGGACATGATAGCACCCTTAGCACAGGTAGACAGATAGGAGGCTGCCTTGACTGAGCTGTGGCTTTGCCACAAAGAGTACTGGAAGACAGGAGGAGGAGGCCTGGAAGGAAAGGCTCCTTACTCTTGGGTCACAAACGTGTGTTTGACCTGTACTTCGCAGAGGGAAATCTTCCAGCAGGGACCACCCTGGAAGAAGCCGGCAGAACAGCTGGCTAAAGCTGCAAGGTGTTAACAAGCCAGGTGGACCGCGAGGGATGCATATACAGTAGTTGTTGCTGTTGGAAGTGGCTATCAATGGCAGAATGTAGAAACTACAAAACTTCAGGACGATACTTATATATGTATAGCAATATTTTGGGGAATCATGCCTTACTGTTAAGAAAAATGACCAAGGACAAAAATAGCAAAGTGGTGGCACCAAGAGTTATTGTTTGGGACGGAGCGCCTTGGCGGCGTGGAGACGACCAGAGGGACAGCAGCTGTAGGGTTTGGTCTTGAAGGGACAGTCGGAGTGCTCAGATTATCATGCACGAGAAATGTCTCCCCTGGCCTCCCAGAAGACATTAGCAGCTGAATTTATGCAGTCAGTCATGAAGAATATGGGGACGTGGTTCTTCATTCCCCCAGGGGAAATTGGCACGTTTTAGCTCCCTAAGCTTTAAACGGGCTCCCTAATACTGTTTGTTGGCCCCCCACAGAACCTGGGTAGTACAGATACCTGAACCAAGGTAGCAACAGGCCTGGGGGAGGGGCAGAAGACAGCGTTCAAGGCGTTGCCTTGAATAACTGCACACGAATGTCTCCAGTTAGCTTCATGTAGACCATTCTCGTCCATTCATCTGTGTGTGAGGATGAGCCGACTTCCTTCCTACTGTGCTTCGTGTTGTTTCGGTGCAGAATTGATCTGGGGGAAGGACAGACGACATGGACATTCCGGCTCCTGCATGCACACACCCTGATCTACCTACCAGTCTGGAGATAGCTGGCCTCTTCGGGGTGTATTACTCTGTTAGCATGGATATGATGAAGAGCCAGCCACACTCCTTCCAAAAGGGTGTGTTTACATTCACTTAAGGCGCCAACGAGATGAGAACAATAGACTGCAGTGTTGCAGCATTTGAGAGGGACCTTGTCAAGTGGGAAACACCGTGAAGCCCCAACTGTAGATGTAACCCTTGGACTGTATTGTCTCCCCACTCCCAGGGCTGCAACAGCACCACGTATGTGCAGGATGCCTTCCAGCTGCTGCTGCCGGTCCTGCAGGTGTCCCATATCCACACCAGCTGTGTGCAGGCGCAGCCATGACCTTGCCAGAGCCCATCTGGTGAAAGGAAATGGTAGGCCACGTCGCCTCGCCCTGTGCCATTTGCAGGGGGAAGAGTTGTCCTGGAACTGGATGCAGACACTCGTTCGAGAACACTACAGGCAGCTTTGCACAGACAGTTCTGAGAAGGCCAAGAGAAAGAGCATCATCTTTTCTCTTAATGTATATGGTTTCTGCAAAGAATTGTGTTTCCTTTGTGTTAATTTAAACTTAGACGGCTCACATTGAAAGTTTCTTTTAATCCAATATCCATTCACAAATACTCATGTCCATTTTCCTGGTCAAGCATGCTATACTTACGAATTCATGGGCAAACTCTAGATTTTATTTTTCATCCTTTAAATTTCTGTGTTTCAATGTTCCATTCTTATAGTATCACTTTAAATCAATTCTGATACTGAACTTTGTTATGCAAATGTCATGGGCAAAAATAACACTATTTGTAGATTTTACCTGTTACCATGAAAGAGGAACATAAGTATCTATAGTCATTTCTCCCTGCAAAAAGCATTTATTGAGTACCTACTGTGTGCTCATAAAAAAGGAGAATTATTTCGGGGTGGGCATTGTGGCACAGCAGGTTAAGCCATTGCTTTAAACACCTGCATCCCCTATTAAAATGCTGGTTCGAGTCCCAGCTCCTCCACTTCCTATCCAGCTCACTATTAATCTGCCTGGGAAGCAGCAGAAGATGACTCAAGTACTTGAGTTCCTGCCACCCACATGGGAGACCCAGATGGAGTTCTTGGCTCCTGGCTTCAGTCTGGTCCAGCCCAAGATGTTGCAGCCATTTGGGGAATGAACCAATGGATGGAGGATCTATCTCCCTCTCTCTCTCTCTCTCTCTCTCTTTTTCTCTCATCCCCTCTGCCTTTCAAATAAATGCAACTTTTTATAAAAAAGAAGCATAATTTCACCCCAGTAGAGACAGGTATTATGAAGAAGGGTTTACAAAGTCCATTGGTAGAGTTTTTTTTTTTAAAAGTTCTACCCTTCAAATTACTATATTTTTTCATAGTTTCAACTTTGTTGTCCCAAATTTTAAATATGGGGTAAAAATACGCATGAAAGGGGGTATGGGAAAGTATTTAGTGTAAAATTGACTTCTTGTGATCATAAGCCCATGATGCACGGTGACAAAGCTTGGAAGGCCTCACACAGAACACTCAAGGTGCTTCCATGTGGGAGAAGCCAGGAGTGCATTGAAAAATCTGCTGCATGAGTCATACGCTCTGGTAGCAAACGCCATCCTCGCCCCTGATGTGTGGGTTGACCAGCTTGCATACTGACCCACGGGAGGCTCTGCGGAAAACCCTGCTGCTCACGGTCCCCACATCCACTGCAGGTGGGGGTTCTGTGTGTCTCCCCTGTTTTACAGCCCTGTGGTGTCCCTACTGGTGTTGTTGCAAGAAGTCTTACTCTTGCTTCTCTCCAGGACAAAGGAGGTTTGTGGTTTTGCAAGGGTACAAATTTCTTACTCACATTTGCTTTTATTCCCCTGCAAAGTCACTGCCTTTGGTGCATTCGGGCAAAGTAGGGGTATTTTAGCACCAACTTGCTTCTTGTTACCATTTCATGTGTCTCTCTATCCTGTATTTCATTTGTGTATCTCCTAAAACAGCCAAATAGAAAGCATCAGAACAATGTATTTATAATCTGGAAAAAGAAAATGCTCTGAAGATTCAATTAAAGATTTATTTTGTTCTCCTCTTTTAATTGTCTGCAATGTTTCTGTTATTAAGTCTGGAGAATTTGATTAGCTGATAAAAATGTGCCTGATGCATCTTCATAAATCTTACACATTGTGTGTGAGGAGCCAGGAGAAAACATGTAGATTTTAGATTTCTTCGCATCAGTTTTTTTTGTTTGTTTGTTTGTTTGTTTGTTTTTAGCAACAAGTGGATTTAGATGTTAACTTCTAGAAGAGAAACAAATATTTTCAAAGGAGCTAGACTCCCAGTCTTACATGCGAAGCCTAACTGTGCCCATTTGCTGCGTGGCAGAATTTTTAACTCTAAAACAAAATAGAGATTTTTAATCAGAAGAGTGGCTGGCAGCATTCATAACTGCATTGACCTTTAGTGAGATAGGGAGCACAGGCTGCCTGCTAGAGACACAAGCAGAGAGCTGATTCTCTTCCGTAATCTGTGAATTACATAATTTAAGGGAGATGAGTCACTTCAAATACGCCTGCCCTCCAGAATCTCTTTCTTTCAGGATGATTATCATCATCGCTTTTAGATAATTGCTTCTTTGCTTTGCTTTAAACCTGGCAAAGCAGAGGAGCCAGATGTGGGCAAATGGCAATCCGTTGCTGAGTGCCTTAGCAGGCTGACCTTGGAAGTTCTGTATTCCTTCAGTAACTCCTTTACATAAATTGGGTTCATTTCACTCTATGCAATTACCCGGAACAGGCCTGCCAGTTCTTCCTTTGCATTAAGCGCAAACTAAGCTCTAGTCTAAATAATGAATGTAGTCCCGTGCCTGTGCCTTGTTAAATAAAAAGCATCAAAAGCATCTTCCAAATTCAAAGGAGAATGTGTTCTGGAAAACTTGCTTTTGGGTATTGATGCGTACAGATCTAAAGGAGAACTTTAAGTCCCAAATCTTGATGCACAGGCCTCCGCTTAAATCTTCTATCCCACTGAGAACAGACGGGTCTCACGCTGGGCTGCACATGAAGCTCAGGGTGAAATGAGTGGTGGGAGTCGTGGCAGGAGCCAGCGAAGACACACAACGGCCCCACAATGGCTCCTTAGCTCCGGCTAAGGAGCTCGGAGGCCATGAAGGAAGCCGCAGCCTTGGGCAGCTGCAGGAAAATGTTGAATGTGGAGCATAGGTGGACACACAGAAATCAGAGTGTTCCTGTGCTTTGTAGACATCGGCGGCCTGAGGCGCTCCCACGTCTGCAAAGTCACCTGAGCAGCCTGGCGGTGCTGCTCTGACTGCGAGAAGCAAGGCAGACGGAGTCCCATCGAAGCTAGCCTGGGCGGCCCGGACACAACACCCCGAGAAGCAGCATAGCCAAAGTCAACAAGCATTTTCCCACTTTTCTTCCCTTAAAGTTGTGTGTGTGTGTGTGTGTGTGTGTGCGTGTGCTGAGCAGATGGACTGATCATAATACCTGACCTCAAATGGTATTTACTTTTATAAAAGCAATGATTCTTGCGGGTCACGCCATTTTCTGGTGTAATGTAAGAAGTGCCCTTTGATCTTCCTCTTAAGCGTGCCCTACATTCTGATATTCAGACCCAGGCTTTCAGTTGGGGCCTGAAAACGCTGTGTGTGGAAGGCACATCAGAGGAGATCCTATGAAAAAAGAAATCTTAGAATTGCAGTTTTGCTCTGGTTTTGTGGTTGATTAGAATTCATCATTGGCCAGGACTGGATTCAGCCGGCCGTTCTGCATGTGAGAGAAAAGGAGTGGTGTGGTTCGCCCAGTGTCTGGGGCAGCTTTCTGCTCTCCTGTCTGCTCACCATACCAGAGTTCCCTGGAATATCTGCTGTTCAACACAGCTCAGCAAAGACAACATTCTCTTCCTGTTTTCCTCCTGGACCGGGGAAATCATCTGTGGTTCTACCCTTGGAACATTGTATCTTTCACAATGGTGATTGATGGCGTCTCCACCAATTCTGCTGTGAGGGCTTCTCCTGGCCTGGGACTAGAAGCTGATAAGGGAGGGTCAGCATTCGGTGTGGGGTTTTCAACTACATTTACCTGCGTCTGGATCACAGCGGATTTGTCTCTGCAGGAGCTGTCAGCCAAAAAGCAATAGGATTATGTCAGCCTGTGGTCACTGCGGACTTACCTGGCAGGCCTGTCTCTTGCAGTAATCGCAAAGGAATTCTGTGTTGTGAAAGAACAGCATGGCCATTTCTCAAATGCTGTGCCTGAGGACAGAAAGGTGCAGTGATTCCGAGCTGGTCTGCCTGCGTGCCCTGGATTTCATCACTCGGCTTCTAAGCTGTTATTTGGAAGGGAAAACCAGTGTAGCAGCCAAGGCCAGATGGATGAGACTTCAGCAGAAAGCAAAGCTGCCATCTCCGTCCTTTGTCATTCTCAGGATTTTTTTTTTTTTTTTTTGACAGTCACTAAGTATCTGTCTTCCAGGATCAGCTTTTAACATCCTGACCGCCTTTTCCATATCTCTCATTCCCCGCCGCCCCTGTATATCTATACCATCCTTTCCCTGTTTAGCAGAAAACCACCCATCCAAACGCCTGCGATCATGTTCATTACCATGCATCCACTCTGTGCTAGGTGTGATGCGGAGTGTTCTCCATGCGGTATCTCATCTAATCTCCAGAATCACCGACGGGGTAGACACTGCCCCGCCCCTGCACAGATGAGAACCTGGTGATCCGGAGAAGTTGTGTAGCTGGTGCAGAGAGACACCACCGGGACAGCAGAGTCAGGACTGGAACCCAGGGCAGTTTGGCCTGCTGTGCCAGTATTTTGAACCGTGATGCAGAGGCTCCCAACAAAAGAGAAACGAAGCCTGCTATTTTTAGAGACATCTGAGTGCTCAGGTTTATACAGTGGGTTCCCGTTAAGCTGTGAAGTTGATTTGTAGCTGAAAGCCCAGGTTGTCAGCTTGGGTTGTTTCCAGGCCTGGAGAACCATGGGGGAATAAAGAGACGCAGAATGCAGACTTGCGAGGTGTTTAGGCCCCTGGGTGGTTCTCGTCACAGGCATTTCACAGACCTCTGCTTCCAGCAGCACAGCCTCCTGTCTCACAGACGCCTTTGATGTCGCCAGAGCAGCTCCCTTTCCTCTGCCAGGGAAGCCCAGTTGTAAATCACCACTGTTGTTGAAGATGCTCCGCCCCACGCGCCCTTGACTCATCTGGGTGGCCTTGAAGCCGAATGTGCCTCTGGAGGCTGTGCTGCCTCATGCCAGGTGTCCCTGAACTGGATGCTGACCCCCGTTAAGCCCAGGCAATGCTGATGATGGCGGTGGTGACGTTGATGGGGACGATGATGATGATGGCGGCATGCATATTGATGGATTACTTTGTGAGCCTCAGGCACCTCGTACAAGCACTTTTATCTCTGTCATCTCACTTAGTCCCCCATCACATTATTTTGAGCTATGTACTATTATTATTGTACCCATTTTACAGATGAGAAATGAAGCTCAGAGACTGAGCAATCTACTAGTGATTATTCAACTCGTATGCAGAGGAGCCAGGATTTCTATCCCGGCTCTGTATAAATGCTACACAGAGCCCCACGGGCAAGCAGACGGCTGCTCTCCATTGCTCATTTGCCCTTGATCTGAGTTTTATTCCATCAAAACCCTGGGCCCTTTCTCCACGCTGGGCCTCAAGCAGAGACAAGTTTCTCCAGGACTCTGCCTGTTGGAGGGCTGCCGCACTTTTCCTGAAAGAGAATGGGGAGCCTGCGTGCCCCGTTCTGCCTCGTGTGCACACGGAAGCCGTTTGCACTGAAAACTTCCATTGCCTTTTGAGCTTCTGCAGGAAAGCCCTCATCTGCTGTCTCTGCGGAAAACCCACCCCGAGGCCCTAGTGCTAAAGGACGCGAAACAGATGATGTCCAGCGGAGGAGACGGAGTGCGGCCGCCTCCGTGGGTCACGGGGCCTCCCACACCTCCCAGCCCCTCCTCGCTTCTTGCCCCTCCTCTCGCGCCTTTTTCCTCTTTCGGGCCTATCACTCTTTGGCTGTTACTGTCTTGCGCCGGAGAGAGCGAGTTTCTGTGCTGTGTTCATTACCTTATTCCCAGCCCTCACGGCAGTGGTTGGCACACGGTAGGTGTTCAGGAATTATTAGTCGAAGGAAGAAACACCTGGAAGTCTTAAGTGTGCGGTCTGTAAATGCTGAATGAGAGAATGGAAGTGGCCGTGTCACAGGGCCATTAGCCAGGGGCAATGGATGTCTGCTCGAGCTGGAACGTGAACAGTTAGCGCTGGAAGAAATGGGGTCCATTGTGTTGCTATTTGTGTTGCTCCATACACATGATTTGAGGGCTTAGAAATATGCATGAACTCTTTTCTGTCCAAATGAACAGAATTTACCTTTTATTATTTTTTTTAATCTGAATGGTTTTTCAAGACGCCTCAAGGTAGGGTGAATTATAACGAAAATCAGAACCAGTTAAATCAGTGGACGCCAGTTCTACGGAATATCATGCAGTGGTCAAAAAGGATAAAAAGACTGGACTAGATCTCTGCACTGCCGAGCTCCAAAATATATCACTGAGGGGAAAAAGAGGCTACTGCATGATATTTATCAAAAATAACCGGTGCACACTGCAAAAGAATACATATGCATCTCTCAAAGGAAAACTGGAGAAATACAAATAAAACTATTTCAGTAGGCCGGCACCACGGCTCACTAGGCTAATCCTCCACCTGCGGCGCCAGCACCCTGGGTTCTAGTCCAGGTCGGGGTGCCGGATTCTGTCCCGGTTGCTCCTCTTCCAGTCCAGCTCTCTACTGTCGCCCAGGAAGGCAGTGGAGGATGGCCCAGGTCCTTGGGCCCTGCACCCCATGGGAGACCAGGAGAAGCACCTGGCTTCTGGCTTCGGATCAGCGCAGTGCGCCAGCCGCAGCAGCCATTGGAGGGTGAACCAACGGCAAAAAGGAAGACCTTTCTCTCTGTCTCTCTCTCACTGTCCACTATGCCAGTCAAAAAACAACAACAACAACAACAACAAAAAAACGATTTCAGTGCTCCTAAGCAGTGGCAGAAGGAGG